TATTAAATCTACTAGACGGCTGACATTTAAAATGCCTACTTTCCTTCACAGGTAGCAAAGCCAGAGTGTTTTCACAGCAATTAAAGTGGTTCCTCAAGAAGCACAGCTACTAAGAGATTGTGTGGTTACAGCATGTCCCCACAGGGCAGGTATTTATTCTTTGTTCGTTCCCTCAGCCCATCAGAAAATGTACCCTTGTTTTACACCTGGAAATCTCTTTCATCCACAGACGGCACTAAAGGAAGCGGCAGTAGGGAGAAGGCAACAGAGATGTTTGAAGAGCCGGGACTCATTGACCAGATGAGCTGAAGCTGTGGGCTACGTGGACAGACTTAACTTTCTCTCACTGCTGATACAAACATGTTCTGGAACCAGGTCCAACACAGAAGAGAGTTATATCACTTCAGGTTGCATTGATTACGGAACACATAAAAATGCAGGCAGCTCATATGTCTCAAACGAACAACGTTAACTGCCTCCAATCCTGGGCCACCCCCAAAAGCATATGTCTACCTGTGGATTAATAAATGTATTTTAAAAAAAAAAAGACGAGTTTGTTGTATACAACATCCGCTAATGCCGTAATTAGGCTCTGTGTCCGGAAACATCACGAGTTTCCATCAGCCAATTACAAAAAGAACAGCTTTGCTGAAAGCCTCTTCATGCATTTCATCAAGGAACTGGGCCGGCGTGCAGAAGCAAGGCAAGGGAAGAGGCTCTTCCTCCAGCAGCTCCAGGAAGCACAGCACACGCCACGCTCTGTTTTAGAGGCACAACCAACGGTCTCGGAGGCGGTCACTGCTTTCCTTGGCCAAAGTCACATTTCTCACCAAGCCCACCTTGGGCAGCCCCTCCAACTTCACCAACAGTGAAATGTCATTTCCTTCACACACTTTGGGCCACCTTCTCCTTCACAGCAGTGCACAGGCACGTGGGCACATTCGTCAACAATTCTCTTCCGACCCAAAAGGCCAGGCTGGCTCTAGTTTACCTGGCAATTTACTCTTCAGGCAGCAGAAACCAAGATTGCAAAGGCTCAGCTGAAACCTCAACATTCAAAGTTATAACTTCCCATTTTCCAACAATCCTTCTAGAAAACATCGCACTTCGCTGTTGCAGTTGCTCCCCCCACCTCCCCACACATACACAATAATTCATTTTTACCTCAGTAGCAGATGCAGTTGCTTTCTTGTAAAAACCCAGAGTTTAAAGATGACTTCTTCCACTTGCCATAATCCATTGTGTGGGAGAAACAGACATACAATATCATATTGTTCCCTGCACAACACTTTGAGCTGTACTTTCTGCTCTGAACACACTGAAACTCCACTTGAGGCTACAGCAATTTCCATGCAGGAGGCAAAGGAGAATCTTGTATCTGATCTAATACAGGGTAAATCAATGTGCACTCGTTTATTGCTTATAGTTCCCATCAGCTCAAGGAGAGACACTGTCCTAGAGTTTCAAGGCTATCCACGCTGCCTTTGTATATGGAAAACATACCTCGCACTTTTGAGATATTTTGAGAACCCTGTTTGAACGCTTCCCAGGAGTTCAGGTGAGGGACTGGAAATCACTAAACCCCGGCTACTTCTCACCGTTTTCAGTACGCGATTTTGGGAAAGGTCACGCAAGGATTGCATCCCCATTTTCGCCTTCTACAGAAATTCAGTTAATATTAGTCATTCACCTCAGACGGGTGCTGGGAAGCTTAATTAGAGTGTGTACAGCACGCAGAGATTCTCAGATAAGATGTACTAGGGAAGGGCATCATCATATTAATTAGCGTGGAGTCAAGTGACGAAAGCGCTTCTCTCCGTCTCCTTCAGCTGTTGGAGCTTGAAAGAAAAATTACCCAGCACCACAGTCCTACATGTTGTAGTCAGGAAACCATTGGCACAGGGACCACGTTTTTCTGGATGTGGTCTGCATTCCCCTCAACTTTGCAGGATTCTGACCTTTCGCTGTGGCTGTAAACGGGAGCTCCCTGGAAGATGTGTATCCCAGCACAAGCCAAGGGAGGCAGAGTCTTAATATTCCTTCCCATGCAAGTATTTTCTCCCATTAAGTGCTTAAGAGCTGTATGATTAGGGAGATTAACTTTTGCAGCTGGACATTTTCTTTAAGAATGTCATTTTCCACACAGTCTTCTCATTTAGCTTTCTTTTATTCTAAGCCCAAGACATTCACTTACCCAGAAGAGGACTCTTCTGCAAGGTTCGGAAAGGAATACACTCTTGCACTTCAGTCCTTTCTTTTTGCATCTGCAACAGGCTTGCTTTCAGAAAACCCTGTTACTACTTATTTCAACCCGGTAACTTGTCTGCATTTCCAGACAATCAACACCAAGAGTCCAAAACTACAAATTCATTTATCCAAGGACCTGATCGTAACAAAGCTACATCGTGGATCACTTTTTTTTTTAAAAAAAAGCACAAGAAGTTCCTTAAAAAACATGAGAGTTGATACACTGAAATCACACAGATACACAGCACTTAGCGAGACGGTTGTGACAGGCTGGAATATGGATTAAAATTTAGAGAGGTTCATTGACACAGCAACACAAAACACGAGTGCAACTTAATTATTATCAACCTCAGACGCATGATTTAACATGAGGGCAGTTACACCCACTTTGTCTTTCCCTCGGTGTCACCTGGGAGGAGGGTGATGGGTCCTTCACTGCAAACAGTCCCAGCTGGTATCTGGGGACACACTTAAATAAAAGCTCTGTGTTTAACCTGCCACCAAATCCCTAGGAGTCGATGGTCAGGCACAGTAAGAAGTGAGCTATTCCTCCAAATTCTGGCTGAATATTCTGAGAGTTTAGGCGTAAGGAAGACAAAACCAGAAGGAAACAGCCTCTTGACCTTCCCTGTCCCCATGCCCTCATCATCACCCTGGCAGGCTCTCCTTCTCCTGAAAAGGACTTCTCTCATACTCTTTTTCCCTGAAAAAGACAGGCCTCTGAATAAAAACGTGAAATTATACAGTTCTGTTAATGTCACTTCAGTCCTCAGCAGAGAAGTGGAGGCAGAGCAGAGGGGAAACATTTGAATTCCTCACAGCCTCCATGAGACACAACTTTTCTGCATTTCACAGTAGATTTTCTTTGCAGGCAAAGAGGAAAGCCAGGCTACATGTTCTGTTTTTTAAACAAGCTTACTGTTGCAAGTGATGGCGTTAGTCTGCTCACTCACTAATTTAAGCTTCCCGCTTCTCAGAGATAAATGTGCCTTTCAAGTTGTTTATGCCAGCCTTCCCTTCTTATCTTTCATCCCACTCCCGCAGTACCCACCGACTTCAGAAGGCTCCGTATCATTCAGTATCACTTGCATAGAATAAGCTTTATATTTTTTCAGCAAATTCAGCTTTAACAGTGATTAAAACATACAGCAAAATAACGGGTTTTCAATACCAAGAGACACTTCGTTCGAAGACTTCCAGGAAATGAATTCTCAAAAACCACACAGCGATCTTTTAAGAAGCACAAAATTGGTCCCTAAACAATTTCCCTGTATTTCAAGGGAAGCAGATTGTGGAATATTTTTATTTATTAATACGTTCATTCGCATGCTTGTGCTTTGACAGTCGTGTTGGCTTTAACCAAATGATAAACCTCACACAACTTCTTCTTTAAAGGGATGGGAGGCGGGTGGAAGAAAAAGATGAGAGAAGAGTGATTAAAATTAGTCACAAGAAAGCCTATAAATACACCAGTGGACAGAGGAAGCATTCTCTCTTCTATTTAACTTAAAAATAGAGCGCTAAACTTTAAAAGGCAAACAGACGCAATAGAGCAGATGCAATGGAGCAACGATGCAGCGGAGCTTAGAGAAAGTCAACTGGGCAATTTAGCCAGGGATGTGTATTGCAGGGTGGGAGAGGAGGAGGAGGAGGAGGAGGAGGAGGAATCTTCCTTGTCAGAAACCAGCTACTGGCTCAGGAAGTCACAGAAGGAGGAAAATTAAGGGAACCCATATGATTGCAAGAGAAAAATCAAATCACAGAGTCACAGAGGCAGTACGGAATAGAGGTATAATGTAGAAAAAAGGGATGCCAGGCCAGGAAACGATTTATTTGGTGCAAATGTTAAGCTTGTGGCAGCAAGGGCTTGAATAGGATCACAACACCTGTGCACACACCTGCAATGTCAACTGGAAGTCAAAGGGATGTGTTGAACAAAACTGCTCAGGTACTTTCAGTGAGGTATAACGTAAAACAGAAACTCACTGAACATGCTCAAACGCATCTGCTGTTCCCATCTCACCTAGTGCAGGGCGATGGCTTTAACGAAGATACACCGAGGAGAAAGCAATGCTTCTAAGAGACGGTGGCTTTTGTTTTCCCCCTCCCAACGCCCATAGGCTGGCTCTGTCCCACTAAATACCTGGGGCTAACAGGAGTATGAACATACTGTCTAAAAGTACTCCAGGTTCTTCGATAAGAATACAATAAAGCTGTTAAAGGGATTTATCAACATGCATTGCTTTCCTTTTTGCAAAAATCAGAATGTAAACTAGAAATAGGCGAAACAACAGTTGCAAAGGACAGATGCTTTATGGCGCTAGGAAAATACTACATGACATAATTGCAGCTGCTGCACCTGACAGCTCGGGCCAGTGGTACAGCACGGCGGGTCAGTGCCAAGAAAAGGAGATGCGCTGGGCCAACGTGCAGGAAAGGAGAGTTGAGCTTAAGGACAACAAGGTCACAGGTTATTACACGGAAACCACAAAAAATGTGTGTTAGAAGCAGCATCGGTAGGACCCGTCCATCCAGTGTCCTCCGCCCTCCTGCTGTAAACACGGGGGCTGTGTGTAAACAAGCAACACAATAAGCAACTTCCTGATCTGATTTTCTCAGGGGGCTGCCAGGACGCTGAACGACAGCTCTGAGAGTTTCAGGTCCTGGCAAGCGCAAGAAAGAGCAACCGCTGCAAAGAGAAAAACAAGCGAAGCCGTCACAGCAGGCAGGAAACAACGACAAAGCGATCTTACTTTCGTTAGGCAGCTCCTCCCGATCCAGGTCATCAAGGGGGGCTGAGGCGCTGCTTCCACTGTCGTCCAGCGTGAGGATGAGGGGAACGTCATCATCCATGCTCACAGCCATCCTGTCCCTTCAGAGGCTCCTACTCCAAGAACTTTAAATAACGCCTTTTTCAGTTCCACTTGTAAAACGCTTATGTCAAAAACTCTCCCCGGAAAGTCTTCCATCGGGGGTGTCCTCTAGACATAAGAATATAAAGGTATGTGTACTCATCTCTGGAGACCACAGTTCAAAAAAGGATCTAGTTATTTGCTTTCGAAAAGCAGCGCAGGATGCTAGACTCAATGGCAGTGTTTATGCAAAAGCTAAATTCAAAAAGTCAGGTCTGGGCTGCCTGTTCCAGTCAGCGCACGGCTCGCAGTACAGCACGGAAGCAAAAGAAAGTGCTTCTTGACAAACTCCTGACCGCTCGGCACAAGAAGCAGGCGGGCGTGACGCATCCGGAGCCAGCATGATGCTAAGTGTCACCGTCACACATGGCTCTTTCCCCCGTCATGCCAAAATGCCTCGCTCTCAGGTGGGGAGGGGAAAGAGGGAGAGAAAGAGGCCAGTTTGAGTCTGCACACATGAAGTTCCCGTAGGCTTTTTTACTGGGTGATGTCACTGTCACAAAGTCACGGGTTTCTTTAAAAGGTGGAGGAAACGAAAAATCAAGCAGGCCCCGGACAACCTTACAGGGACGCTCCACAGCCGGTGCCGCCGCCCAGCCGCTGCTC